TGCTCCAGACTTTCTAAAGGTCTGGATGAGTTTTTTTGCATATAAACATTATGTGCTGACCAAGATTTACCATGTAATTTTACATTAAAATGTTTGCCAAGGTGGGTATCATTTCATTTGTGAGTAAACAAAGTAGTAGTTAGGAATGTCTTTGGAACAAGAGCAAGTCAAAGGTCCAGTTTATTGTTTGCAAAGTTTTTTGTTAGGAGTAGATAAGAGTGTTTCGTGTCTTCATTTAGGAAGCCTTTAAATGCTTCAATAAGTAAAACCTCAAGATGTAGAGGCTTAAAGAAGGATAAATGCATTATTTTAAAAGCAGCCAAAGAAAAACCTAAATTCAGCTGGAGACTTATCAATACAACTTGATTGATTTTATCGAAATTTTTACAAATTTTGTGTGTATGAAATTCCAAAAAATATACATCTTTTTCTAATAAGTAAATTTAATTGTTTTATTTAGTTAACCATGTTGTAAAGACGAGCTAGAAACTAACTAAACTGGCTTTCAGACCATTTGCAAAGTGATCAGTAGTTAAACAGAAAGAAGTTCTACCTGTCTGATGTTTTGACCGACGTACTCTATGACCATCTCATCAGCGGCGATGGGCTCCATGGCAAACAGGCCCCATTCGTGGATCCGGCTACGACCGAAACGGAGCTTCTTCTTTCGGAACTGGACAAAAAGAAGAAGAATGAGGTGGGAAAAAAAAAAATGACAGACTTTTATTTCAAAAGTAAGTAACATGGCTTCCATGTGAATGTTATTTTTTTTTTGATGCATTCATTAAGAACAATTCACAAATGCACTGCAACACATCTTAGACTCATGATAACATTAAAAATGTTCATACAAGCGCCGTAAAGTTTATTGAAACATTTTTTTGTTCCACTTCTATTGCTGCTTTAAAAAGATTTGCAGCTAAAATGCTCCACACCCAGAGAACATTCCCCTTTTTAAAGGAGTTGCTCATTAAAGAGAAACAAGTCAATTCTTCTTTATGAATGTTTAACATGGTGTCATGTCTGAGAACACCCTGGCCTGACTTTAATTTGAACCACAAGAAACAGGGCATGACGCAGAAGGCCTGTTGCTACAATCTGTGAAAGAATTTAACAAAGGAATAGGTAGCCATTTAGAATAACCAACTAAATGATGAAAAATGTTACTTGCGTTTTACCATGCAGCTATATGTGTAATATGTAATGAGATACTACGACTGACTGTACCTTAAGCTGATTTAATTTAAGTAGGTCAGAGTCCATGACAGCTGTGGTTCCAATGACGGTGAGGAGTCGGCGCTGCTCTGAGCGCCTTTCTGATAGCACTCGATTAGCTCCCTGTTGGGAAACAAAACAGCTTTAATAAAAACATGTCCCTGAATTGAAACAATTATGATTTTGGCCTTGAGTTCTACAACACTGATACCGCCATGCACCTTGACCTGGTTTTGCAACATTTTGAGCGTAGGCAAACCTCATTTTATGCAATACCAGAATGCATGAGGGCAGGAAATATATGTGCAATGGAAGGAAGTTTCCTTTTTATTTCCTGCAATGTAAACTAAGCTAAAAATAGTAAGCTGCCAACAAGTGCAAAAATTATTTCTATTCAACAAAACTAAAGCCAAATATCAGCTGATAACTGATGCGTTTCCAAATCCTCTGGCATTGCATCTCGAGTTCCATAACGGTGCTGCTAACAAGTGCAAAAATTATTTCTATTCTAGTTTTTTTCTACGCAAGTTAAACATATTGAAGATTAAACAAAATGCTTGATCAGAGTATCAGTAATCCAAGTCATGGCAACCACAAAACGTCTTAAATTGGAGGCAACTGGTCTCTATTCTGGTGCGAGCTAACAGAATTAACAGAGACTTCTGGATAGGCGTGAAACGTCTTCAGAAAAATTTAGTGAAAGTCCAGTTGCCTCCCATTTAAGCCTGATTTGTGAATTAATCCAAATATTTAATTCTAAAACTGTATAGGGACTCAAACACTAATAAGGGCACATACTAAAGGAAAAATAAAGCAAAACACAAACACCAAAATGAAGACAATTAGAAAAGTGCAGACCGTTTACTATATATTTGGACATACTTTAAAGTGACCAAAACAAAATATGCATCTTTATTTATAGGTCAATTTCATGATGAGGAAAATAAATTTGTATCGGTCATTGTATTAAATAAAAACCTACACAGTGCTCTAAAACTTACATTTTGAATGTGCATGTCTTAAGTCCAACACAAACCAGTTGATGTCTGCTCCAAAGCATGCAGCCAAAGCCTGTCTGCTTTTCTAATCAGACCATTTGAATTCAACAAAACTAAAGCCAAATATCAGCTGATAACTAATGCGTTTCCAAATCCTCTGGCATTGCATCTCGAGTTCAGTTAAATGCCTCACAATCCTGCGGTGCATGTTCCTGTCACACACCCAAACAAATACCACTAATTTGTGCTTGTGCAGTAAAGGCATTGTGTAATGAAATTCACAGGACTCTAACATTCAAAACAGTAGAATTTCTTTGGAAACTAAAAGTCTAATAGGTGAAAAGATTTACCTTGGAGCAGCAATTTTATGAATAAAAAAATCAGTATGACTTAAAAGCATCAACATGCAAATCAGTCATAGAGCCCCTAGATAAGAAACATCACATTAAATATATACTTCTTTTGCATTCAACTTTTTCATTGAAATTCTCTCACACTTCCAGTCTCACAAAAAGAAAATGCACTTCAAGAATACTAGTGCATTGAATGAGTGGGAAGAATGGCTGCCAGTAACACAACATAAATGCAGATAAAAAAAAAAATGAAACTTAAGTTTGTTTCGTTTTTTCTTTTTACTCCAACGCCATGCAAACATTGCTCCACACTTGTAGTCACAACAGACACAAGTTAGAAGATTGAGAACCTCCCAGGATCACAAACAATAGACTGTAGTGCTAAATAACGTGTTTGTACACAATCGTCTAAAACGAGGAAACCAATGTATTCAGAAGCACTCAAACTGTCAATAGGAAATAAAAGTTTTCCCCAATTGTTTTTCCAGAACTCAATTCCGTGTTTTTCCTCTATGGTGACAGTGAGTCATCCCTGCCATTACAAAACAATTCCACTCAAATGTGATATAAGCTAGAACAACAGAACCAGTTGAAAGAATTTATACACTGGAACCCTCATCCTGACTCAGTTCACCATGAGTTAATCATAACAGAAGTAATTCAACCTGGGATACAGCTTTAAATGGAAAATAAAACAATCCACTTCATGTGGATAGTTTCTGTAGTGTCAAAATTGCTTGGTAACATAATATCAGGAAAAACTACATCACACACAACTACAGAAAGGAAAGAGGTGAAAAGTTTTTCTATTTGAGAACATTGTCGATACCATTCCTTTTCTATGTCTTAAAAATAATTTGAAGACTCTAAAAATAAAAACTATTATAACAAAACAAGTTAATTAAAAAAAGCTACATCTTCAGATAGGTAGGATCTGGGGTCTACTTTGCAAACAATGGGTGTTTCATCTTACTAAGCTGTAAAAAATTCAAAACCTCCCTCAAAAAGATTTGAAAAACCATAAAACTGATGCAAAATTTGCTTTCAAGATTCGTAAAAAATCAGAAAACATTTGCAAAAATGTTAAACCTCAGTAAAAGCAAGCCTCAGTAAAGAGGATCTCTGCTGTGGAAAACGTGTGTAAAAGAGATTAACCTAAGATTTTCATTTGTCTAGCCTCAGGCTCCTTTACTTACTTAGAAAGAGGGTTACTTATTTACTTACTTAGAACGAGGTTTGCATTCTCATATTCTATGTCACAACATGACATGAGGACTGCCTTATCATTTCCATGGGACACAATTAAAATACCAATTTTATGAAAAACACCAAGCTTAACCTGTAGCATAGGTCTGGTGTTTGAGCCTATTATTTGGAGAATAAATAAAACATTTTCAGTTTTTTGACTGCTTTTGTACTCATAAGCGTAAACCAGGATGCACTCATTGTTCAGATGTAGCAACATGTTATCAAATAGCTACGGAGTGTAGGTCTCTAAAAGCTCATCTTTATCTAGAAAAATACAAATCAAATTCAATTAAAAGAGGAAATGTGGGTTTTAAAACGAAAACGTTTGAGTGGTTGGGATAAGGAGTGTAGCCAATATGTAGGAAAATTCCCCAACGGCATCTTTGCCATTTGGTTGCTACCGCTACCAAAGAAACATGATACATTTTTGTAGTCATCTGTCGTTTAACCTCAAAGTATGTCGATTTGAAATTAATCACTGGTTAGTGTTGCAGATAAGGTAATTGTTTGGAATATTTTGTTCTGTGCAGATGTGATCCTTTTGTGGACCTGGGGGAAACCGATTGTAACTAGATGGGAACAACTCAGTAATGATACAGGATTTATTATAAAAACTCTTTTAGCAGCTGTAGTACAAGAACATCCAGCTAAATGTTGAAAAAAGACCTAATTACTTAATTACTCCAAGCAAACGTTAAGAAATCCAACAGGATGTATATCTTAGAAAATCTCAAGCCTTTGTTTATTTGAAAATATTGATCCAATGTTGGCATGTTTTTTTTTATTTTATTTTTTACTACAGTCCAACTTGAAACTAAATCAGGTCTGGGTTAGCTTTCAAGGGTCTTGGTACCACTTGTTTCATGAATAAAACATCTAAAATATTCTTAGAAATAATAAAAAAATATACCATCAACACAAAGAAATGAAAGTCTGACGTTGCTTTTCAATCAAGACAAACTCAAGACACAGGCCTGGACAAAATCTAAAAAAATATATAAGGCTACAAGTAGTCACTGGGCTGTTTGATGACATGGTGTCTACCACCCTCAACATGAACCAGAGGAATGAAGGAATGACTCGTCTCAGAAGATTACAAAGGAAATAATAGCTGCAAGCTAGCAAGCTCCTTGATGTTCCTATGACTGCAGCTGCATTTATCATTCAGAAATGTGGGACTGTAGCCAACCTCCCTGGATGTGGCCGCAGGAGGAAAACTGATGACAGATATAGGAGATGGATAATACGAATGGTACCAACAGAGGCCAGGAAAACGTCTAAACAGATAAAAGCTGAGCTTCAAGCTCTAAAAACTTCAGTGTCAGATTGGACCATCAAAGCAGACTTAATGGGAGATGATAAAGGAGGACACCATTGCTGGAAACGTATTAAAAAAATCTTGACTGGTATTTTCAAGACTAAATGTTGAAAAGCCACAAAACTCCTCGGAAAATGTCCTATGGAGAGATGAGACAAAAATTTAACTTTTTGCCAAGCCTTGTCAGCTCTATGTTCTGAGCTAGAAAAATCAAGCACATTAGGTAAAGAACACTGTCCCTACAGTGTCAGACAGCTTGGTCTCAGTTGCAGGTCATGGGTCTTGTAACAGTATAATGACCTCAAAACACACAGCTAAAAAAAGCCAAGACTGGCTAAGAGGAAAACACCAGACTATTCTGAAGTGGCCTTCTATGAGCCCTGACCTAAATCCTATAGAGCATCTTTGGAAGGAGCTGAAATAAGTCGTCTGGAAATGACACTATTTAAAACTACAGAAAACTGGAGAAGTTTACACATGAGGAGTGGGCCAAAATTTCTATTTGATGATTGCAGAAGTCTCAGTGACAGGAATTGTTTAATTGCAGAGATTACTTCAATATATGTGTAACAAAATATTACATTAAAGGTACCATCATTTTTGTCCAGGCTTGTTTCATCAGCTTATTTTTTTTAAATCCAGCACACACATACACTAATGCTTGCGTGAAAAATGTAAAAAAAAAAAAAAAAAAAAAAGAGCAAAAAGATTTGCATTATAGATGAGCAGCCGAGTGTGTGATGTGACCGTTAAAATACGAGCAAACACTTTAACTGGCTGTCTGTTCACAACATTCCACGTAGAATATTAACGGCAAAAGGGGTTACAGTCCAGCACGAGCAAGATGAACCTAATAAAGACTCCCTCAGGAATATTGTGGTAACAGGCAACCTATAATCTTTAAGTTGCCCCAACAGAAGAAATGAACCTTGTCAAATCCACTAAATCATGCTGTAATAACAGCTTTCACTCTGGTTGTTCATGTTATCGCTTGTTAATTCTGGATTATTTCTCAAGAAATATTGCACCATAAAGGTATATTGAATTCCTTCCCACTTGGAAAAGATATCAAAGCTTTTTTATTACTTTTTTTTTTATTTTATACCAGCATTGGCATTGCTTATCTTAAAACTTTGTTGGACCTCCTCCAAGTTTGTTTTTATCTTGTGCCATTGCTAAATCAGTTGCCCTGGCTTAATCTTAATAACAGAGTGGATTTTAGATTTAGAGAAGACTAGAGGGCTTTGCATTGATAATCAGCATTCACACATTAGCCGTAACCGAACTGCATGCTGCAGTTCTCAGGCTCAGCAAACAAACTGTGCAAAAGAAAATATAAAAATACATACAATCTTTTTTGATCAAGTTTAGCGAGAGGGCAAGAGTGAGATTGAGATCGGTCTCCTATTTTGCTAGGAAACTGGTGTGGTTTGCTTTTTTAGAGAAATTCTTATAATAACCACAAAGGCTTATTTCAGAACTTGTTTCAGAAATGTCAAAACATGTGTTGGCCACCTGTTTTACAGACAGCCACATCTGACCCGTTTTACAGACAGCCACATCTGATTACTTCATGCACATTTTAGAACAAATAGAGCTAATGTCAACTAATAAGCAGGCCAAAAATGAACATGTCATTTTGTAAAATCTACTTACATAAAATAAAACATAGGATCCTTTGGCATAGGGGTTATTTTGATATAGTAAACTGTAAGTTATGTGGGATATTAAATTAAAAAAAAAAAACTTGTGTTATATCTGTAATGTGTTAACAAATTCACCATCTGGGAGAACCTTGTGGGCTTAACAGAACAATTTAGTAAAGAGGCTTTATATGACAGAGACAAAGAAAGCCACCTTTCATCTACTGCAAATAAAAAAAAAAAAATCTCCTAGAAGATTTTCTGGAAACTAGATCACTTTTAAAAAAGCAGCTTCTGTATAAAGTTTCTTTATCTCATTTATTAATATTACATGGGCTGACTGTTCTCATACCTTTTGTTGTTTAATAGGGTTCTTTATTTTAGTAATATTACTTGATCAAAACTTTTCCAACATTCAGAAGTACAAAATAAGTATTAAAAGTATGCATAATTCATGCCAATATCTTATCAGGTGAATGTCTGTATCAGTTCATTCTCAAAGCTGCAATATTGGTATCATGTTGGAAAAGAAAAAGCTGTATCAGGAAAACTCTAGTTCAAACCTCATAAACGTCCTTTCAGACAACACAGTGATTAGTGTAAACAATGCTTCCTCTTTCCACACAGTCACCACTTAATATTTAAACACAAGCAAAAAAAAAAGGAGTTTAGTCATTTTTTTGTCTAGTTTGCATGTCTGATGTTCCACTGTATTTACTTAAATAGATTTCTCTCATTTGCAGATTTATTTTTACACCAATCGCAATGGCAGTCAGCTAAAAAAAAATCAATAAACAAATAAATTATTAAGCAGAAATTTAAGGTCCCCTTTGAGTAAAACTTGTCAGGAAAAGAGCACAAGTCAAGAGAAACCCAGACCAGCTTGTTGCATTTTGAGTGGAAAGAAATGGCACTTTCAAAAATAAGGTTACACTTACCGAGCTGTCCACATTTTCAACTTCTCTTATGACCTGCTCAGGCAAGTCCAGGTCGAGGTAGACATCCTTCTCCTTGCGGCTGATAGCGTAGTAGCCCTCACTCCTGGCACATCCAGTCACGTGCTCCCTAAGTTGGCTGTCACTAGCCTTCTTCTTACGACGGGGGTTCGGCAAATTGGTTAGTGCAGAACACAGGTCAAGAAGAATGACGTATTTTCTTTAAAAAGACAAACTATTTTTTTTAAATCAAATATGTCCACTTAAACACGCTAATTTCACAATCATATAATAGACAAGTTTATGGCAAAAACAAGATTATTTAAAAGGATATCAGTGTGATTGACCCAGTGGGTGTCATTTAGCCAATCAGAACTGTGGTCATTCTGTAATAACTTCTCATACGTCTTCTTTAGGTAGCTCAAGTCTTCACCATCCAGACCAGAGTTCCAAATGTCATACAGGATGGTCATTTGCTCAAACTTGCTGCGGTTTTCAAACTTTATAGGTAGTGGCTCAGGTGCGGGTTTCGGCCAGCGCTGTGATGATGTCATCCCGGCCTCCTGGAGAAAGAGACGCTCGCTCTTCCGTACTTCTTCAACCACTTCATTGTCCGTGTCGGAGCTGGATAACTCTCCAGACTCAAGCTCCTCAACATCAACATCCTCCTCAAAGTCTGACTCCTGCAGAGTAAAAAAAGGCTCTGTTAAAGCAAAGCGTTCTTAGATTACTTTAATTATGTCACATGAGAAGCCTTTAAGGTTAATGAAGCAGGGCAAAATTAATGTATTCAATATTTACCTAAATATTTACCAAGGATTTTATGAAGGGAAATTACGCTTCAAGTTCTGACCTTTACGAGACATTTTTTAAACATCTTATTGTTTAGATCATTGTCTTGTAAAATAAACGGATAAAACGCATACGGATAAGATGGATGCCATAGTCTCACTTTCTGCAGGTAATCTATATTGCCTAAGTATTTATTCATCTGTGTCATATGCATCCATTTGATTCTTGTGTCAGTCTAACTGCTGCAGCTCTAACTGCTTTAAATCTTCTGGAAAGCCATCTACAATGTTAAGGATTGTATTTATGGGAATCTTTACTCCAGAAAAGTACTGGCAGGAATGAAACATAAATATAGGACAAGAAGTATTGGCTCGCAATCTCCAGGCTTAATAATAAAAGTGTTTAATTAGGTTGGAAGCAGACCAGTAAAACAGGCAACATGATGTTTTTCACCATCAGACTTGACCTTTTTGAGGCTTTTTAAACCGGTGCCCAGTCATTTTGGAACACAATAAGGTCCTAACATTAAGCCATTCTCACAGAAGTTGGAGAATGTGATTAATTCAAATGTTTTTGTTTCACGAAAATAAAGAGTTTCATTCCTTAGGACTGAGGGCCAACTTTTAAACAATTTGGGAAAATACCCCTTTTTTCACCACACACATCCTGAGGTTGCGGTTGGCATCAGACATAATAAAGTAAGACAAATGTCGTTCGCCTGGTAACTACCAAACGCAGGCAGTCACTGGGTTGCAGCGTAAACTCTTTGAAAAATAAAGAGCAGCTCTTGAACAGGCATCCTATTCCTCCATAAAGACATAACTTTTTTGCCTCTTCTGTTTTGCGCTAAAAATATTTTGTAAAGATTTAACTGGAACATGAATAAAGTTAAATACATTTTTTGGGACATTTTTTTTTTTTTTTTAAATGGGACTGCTGGCGACCATATAAGAGTCACAATTCTTTACTCCAGAAAGGAGTATTCCTTTCTTTTTTAATTAATATAACAGAAGGTTGAATGAGAAATATTTAGAGGAGAGGAAATTTTATAAATGGACTCAGTAAACGGATATTATCCCCTCATGGTTTGATATTGGAATCGCTGAGCTCCATAGATGTGGTGGTTTAATGGTTTTAATGAAAACAATGTTTATATAAAAGTCACTTTCAGTAAATAAACTATTTAAGAAAACTTAACCATTTCAAGAGCACATTCTAAAAAAAAAATCATGCCATGTAGAGCAGCAGGTACTGTTAGTACTGTTCTGATTCTATGCCGCATTGACAAATAACTTTGCAGATAGATAAATGAAATGTCGGCCAAAGATATAGAGTATCTTTTAAGCTTACATTTATTATGACATCCATAAAAGCTACTCTGCAATCAGCCTCTTATTAGAAAACACATATTACTCGGCCTAGCTATGTAAATTACGACACATCAGCTGTCTTTTTTACACTAATTTCAAAATGGCTTTGACGTGTAACATGGCACGTTCTGTTTTTGTTTAAACTGGAAATACCTCTATGACATAACCAAAGATGACAGGAATCGGTGCCGCTATTACGTGAAGCAGACCATGGCTTTTACATCACAGCTCTACTCACGCAAACGTGCACATATACTGGAAATTACACACCTCTAGTTTCCTCTTCCTCTGCTTCTTGCTGAGCTGCTGTTCCTGCTTTTTTGTGCGATGAGGCTCAAGGTTTTCTTTGTCTTTTCGTTTCCTCTTCTCACTTTTGTCCTGTTCGGGCTCTAAACCTTTACCAACATAATTCTTCTTCTTTGGTGATGGAGATACAGCTGCAACCTGTCTATTATCATCAGAGTCACCAAGACCTTCCACTGGAGAGAAGTATTCTCCTTTATCCATCTTGGACGGTACAGCATCTCCAATAACCTCCTCTGGTGCCTCCAATACACCAGAAATAGAATTGAGGTCTGCTGCCACTAAGACAGACGAATCTTGTCTGGAGGAAGGTTTTCTGGTACTGGATGGTATTGCGAGTACCGGAGGTTTGCAGTAGTTGTGCTCCAAAAATACAATAACACCTCCTGGGCTCATAATCAAAGCCAGAGATTCTGGAGAGAAAAGGTCCCCTTCCATCTTCTGCTCCTCTGCTTCATCAGATGTCTCAGTCTCCTCTGAGTCTCCACCTTCAGGATCCATTTTTAAGGCTACGTCTGCCAGAACAGACAGGTCAGTCGTCGAGGCAGAGGCCAGCTGAAGGAGGCTTGTTGCTCCCGCCTGCTCTCTGACCCTTAACCTCTGTTCAGTTTCCTCCTCTTCCTCCTCATCCTCTCTGACAGAATGACAGGAGGATGCAGAGATGCTGGGTGTCCGAGTTCGGCCTCTGGACCGTTTGCTGACAGACAGCGGTGGAGGGGCCTCCTCAAAGGCCATCCTACACATTGAAGCATGGTCCAATGGCAGGTTCTGCACAGTGCGACATACCATAACTGGAGGGACGGGGGATTTGGGAGAGTCTTTGCCTGCAACCCGCTTGCCAGGGGATTTGACAGGCGTGGTCTGGGAGGAAACAAGGGGAGACTTTTTGGACTCCTCAGCATCTTGAGTTCTATTGGGTGGGGGGACAATGAGGGCATTGCCTTCACCTGGTTTTGAAGCAAAGGGAAGAAGCTGGATTCCATGACTAGAACGACTTGAAGGGGAAGGAGTAAGAGGGATCTGAGAGTCTGTAGACTTGTCAGAAATAAGCAGAGCCTCATTTATTGGCTGCGTTGGTGACAGAGATTGTGAGACCGCTGGCAGTTGAGTTTTACTTTCGCTCTCATCGGTCGAGAACGAAACAGTCTTCCTTCGTTTCTTGAGAGGAGGAACAAAAGCATTTGGTGATGAGGGCCGTGGGCATGGTGGCGATGAAGGCGGTGCTGTTATTTCTGCTTTGCTTTCCTTCGTAACACCTGAGGGGAGAGGGAATAGAGAGAAGAAAGTGAGAGCCAAACTTAAGTAATAAATACAAATAACTCAAGTGTTATTAATACTTAGTCAAGTGCTTACTAATTATGGAAGGTAAATAAAAACTATAGACCAACCTTTTTTGATGTCCAACTTTGGAGCAACAGCAGCAATATTTTCCCTACAAAACAGAACAAGAATATGACCAAGGATTTAAAAACAAATATTAAAAGCAAAACATTTTGTATCCTTGCATTTAAACCTTGTATGCATTTTTATGAACTACGCGGATAATTAGATTTACTTTTATAAAACACAGGGCCAAAAGTTTTAAGCATGTCCCTAATTTAGTTATGATCCCATCAAACTTTAACAAAGTTGTACTGATATTATTAAAGTGGTATAACCACATATTGCTTAGATAAACTATGAAAGGATAAAACATCTAAGATAGGAAATAAATGTCACATGGATGGTGGGAAATAAATTCAAGCTACAAAATGTGCCAAATGTCAAGCAATAAAACAACACGTTTAAAAGACGAAATACGTAAGCAATATACCTGTCATTCTCTTTCTCAGCTGTGCTGTCCATTGTTGACTCATCCATAGAGTCTGTCGCTGCACTCTCTGCTAGTTCTCCTTCCTCTATGTCATCGTCTTCAGAAGATGAAGAGGATGATGCTGAGGAAGAGCCTTCAGAGGATGAAGAGAGGCTCTCATCATCACTGTCACTACTAAGCCCATCATCTAAGAAAGAAAACAGACATCAAGTCTAGTTTTGACTGCTGTCTTAACCCAATGATAAATACTGGTCGTGCTTTACCATCAGATTCCTTTTCACTTTCCACTTCTTCATCCTCCTAGGATTAAAAAGCACTATTAGACCATGAAAACAGTCATAGTGAAATACTGCCATCTAGCTAAAAAAAACAGGATTACTTCTAAAAATCTTGATATGTTTAAAAGGTGTTTAACACTGAATACTTATCGTACTTTTCTTCTTACCATTAAGGAGCTAGCTTATATGAAGTATGCATTTCTACATTTTAAAAGCAATTATAACATAACTAGTATCTTATACCTTCTCACTCGATGAGCCATCAGATGTTTCCTCTCCCTCGCTGTCAAGCTCCCAGGGTTTACGACTTCTTGGCTTCTTTTTGCTCCTCTTGTTGTCCCTGTCAGCTGCATGCCTGTCTGCTTCTGGCATTCTACCATCTGCAGCTGAGAACCACATAGATTCAGGAGTTATTTGCTTCAGGTCAATCAAGTTAAACGCTATTTTCAAAGCTGCAATATTAACAAACCATCATCATCAGGTGGAGTTGAAGGTCGTGGCCTCTTCAAGTCCCCCTCTTCAAACTCCTGAGGTTCTTTCCTTTTCACCTACAGTATGGAACATCAATACGTTTTGGTAAGCAATGCTTGCAGCCATGATATGAAATAGCACAAAATCTGGGAATGCCAACATGCAACAAAATAAAAAAAATAAAAATCACATCTAATTTAAATCAACATGGTTTTCTCTATGAAAGTAACTTCAACTGGTAAAAAAAAACAAGAAAAAAACATGATAAAAATAAAATTTAGAGAAAAGAAAAAATATCAGATTTTACACCATGATACTTTTACCTTGAAGGAAGGTAATCGTAATGCACCACGCAGAGAAAATCCCTCCAGGCCCCCGCTTTTTGCCCAATCCACCAAAGACATAAGAGGCTCCCGAGGCCGGTTGACCTTTTCCTCCTTTTTTTCTTCATCCCGTAAAGCAGAAACTCCCCTTACCATTGTCTGGAAAGGCTGGAAAAGAAAACAATAACTTTTTAAACATAAAATACCAAATGGCATAAAAGAGGTAAAACAATCATAAATCTATTTGCTACTGAAAGGAAAGTTGCTCAAAACTGTATAAAATTCAAAACCAATTTTTTTTCAACAAATTAAAAAAGAAATCTTTGATATTAAGAGTTACTTCAAATGTCCATTTAAACTCTACCAAATTTACAGCTGGTGTTTTTATTTTTCTAGGAGTTTTAACATTTTGGGGATCTCAAAACTTTTGACAAGTTATTTATTTTGAGCATACTTGAAAATGTAGGAAACAGCAAAATGCCAAAGTTAGTTTTATGCTGTGATAACAGGCAGGTTTAACTCATTTTTGCCATCTGCAAAATGTTATATTGATGTTATTTCAAAAATCTATCACCTTTGCACTTAATAACTTGGAAAGGTTGGCTCTAAAATATTACCAAATTTAAAATAAACAAAATTTTATTTAATTTAAGAAAGGTTGTGAGGGAAGCAGCTTTTAATGAATTTATTCAGAATTAAGAGCACCACCATACTTTATTTCTACAATAAACAGAAATACGGATAAAGAACAAGGGAAATTCAAGGAAGTTAAGTTAACAAGACAAGCCTGTACCTTGGCCTTGGTCTCTTTTCTATCCCACCACTCATCAAAAGTGGCAAAGGCAACATTCTCCACCATTTTGCGGTTCAGGTCCCTCTGCACAATGTTCTTCATTTCCTGGATCAAAGAGGCGAGGACCATCTGAACCGTTGCCTCGTGTGGATTCTCTGCCAACATTGGCATTCCCTCCCCAGAAGCACTGTACTCTACTCCCTCCTCACTTAATATGGTGCCATAGCCAGGTGGTGGCATGTAAGATTGGAAATGCGGAGGTAAGACATGCGGTGGCCAGCCAGAATGGGGAGGGGGTATACTGTGGGGTGGGGGGCCTGGTATTTGAGTGTTGTGGGGTTCATGGTAGGGATAGGACATATGGGGAGGCATGTACCTATGGTCTTGGTCATAATGAGCACCTGCACCACTGCCCTCTTGGTCCATGTAGGGATGGTGTGTGTGAGGAGGTGGCATAGAGTGAAGATGGTAAGATGCGTAATCTCCAGTAGCAGCTTCGCCTGGACCTGGAGTGCCATTGGATGAAGACATGCGCATTTGATGCAGGCGACTTAACATGTGGGTTTGCATTTGGAAGGACATGGGGGTTCCACCACTGTATTGGTTCATCAGCTCCATGGAGGTGGCATAATCATACATGTGGTGGGGCATCGGAGGATACTCAGGGTGTAGCTCCAAGTGAGGAAGAGGTGGAATCCCTGGTGGAGGTGGGGGTTGAAGGGAGTAACCAGGGGGAGGAGGAGGGGGTAAATGAGGAGGGTAGGAAGGGATTGCGGGATGGATGGAGGAGCCAAAGTGCTGTGAGGAATCAGAAATGGGTGGCGGAGAAGATGAGGGATCTACTGTCTGGGAAAGTCCCGCTTGTGAGGATGATGGTGTTGATCCTGAGGTGACTGACGGCTGGTGAGTTGTCACGGTTGTGATAGTAGTCGTTTCCTCATCATCATCTGAGATCTCCATGTCTTCACCAGAAGAACGAGGGGATGCCTGACAAAAGGGAGAGATTATGGTTTGAGAAACTTTCCAAATGTTTTTGTAAATGGGTGAAAACATCATTCAGAGAAGAAAACTCACTTCCTCTTAACAAGAGAACCAAATAAAACAGATGTACTTTCCCTAGTATGAGAACAAAACAGATTGTTCTTACAGATCCTTACAACATGAAACGCTTAACATATTCATGACAACGGCTGGTGAAGATTCTCCGTCATCCAGGTCAGTCATTCCAAAAAAAGTTAAAAACAAACCACTGAACTTTGTTTCCCAAGTTTAAAGATGTTTCACTTCCCATCCAGAAAGCTTTCTCAATTCAAAATGTCTGGTGTAGCGTTGAGTTCCGGGCTTTACATCACTCCTGGAATATCCGGAACTCAGTACTACTCAGGTGCTTTTTTTTTTCTTTTTTTTTTTACTTTTATTGGAATTCATGACAATATTAGCATAATCTAGCTTTTTCCATATTTTTGGCATTACAGTTTATGCACTTCTGATCAGTGCACTTTTACCTAAAAGATTTATAGCAGTACACTGTCAGGTTGGATGGACAGCTTCAGCTTCAGCACTTTTGTGTTAACTGCAACACACACAGTTTAAGAGTGCTGCTGTGTCCTTTTTATTGCAGTGGGTCTGTCTAGCTGCTTTGCACCAAAGGCCTGACTAATGGAGGAGTTTAGAAATGTTTGACATCCCGTAGGATCCCCTCTCCACAAGACAACACTGGAGCTCAGCTTTCGGTCCCCTCAACTTTTGTGTCTTTCTCTAAAGACACTTTGGAATCGTATCTGCCTAGAAGGTGTTTATAACATCTTGTAGGCTACATTTGATCCGATTTATTTCTAAAGCTTTATATAGCCTGACGCCTTAAGTGTTCTGGATCCATATGGAAAATATTCCAAAGGAACAACCGAAGAAGTGTGCTTCTGCATGTGTGGTAAAAGATATGTGGAGCTGCGTTGCTTCTGACTGTTCTGAGCACCCAGAATGTACCCAGAGGAGGGTCAGAGTGGTTGAGACATGATTGCTTTCCAAAATTTAACTACAGGCTCAGCAACTCATTCTGCTTATTCTTTACAGAATTATAGAGCAGGAGCAAAACGACGTCCTTCAACGTTCTGAGCTGCCCAACGGTGCAGCCCCTTCCTCCACACACACTACCACATTTCTATCATTAATTCCTCATTTCTATCTTTGTTTCTTTAGTTTAATCTAATTATATAATATTTAGGAATGGTGGCCTAGTGGTGACAGGATAGAGCTTGGAATCCTGGGAATTAGGATTAATTTCAAAATTACTCCTAATTCAGTTTCATTGCCATATTGAACAATGATATCATTATTGGGGAATATATATATATATATATATATATATATATATATATATATACCTTCACTTCGATACCGGTTCCTGAACGATACTTATTTCGATACCAGTTTTATAATATCAATTCGAAGAAACAGAAAATTACACAACATAATAAAGTACAAATCTTGAGTTTTATTTTAAGCTCTGATTTTTCCATTTACATTTTTCCCTTTTTCCCTATTTTCTCTTACATAAAAAAAACATTTAAGTGAAGAACAGTTGCAAACAAGTCAGTGTGTAATATTCACTGTTACATTGTGAGGACCTTTTTACTTAGCTGTTTTTCTTTAGAAAAATTAACATGTCTGCTTTCTCAGGAGACAAACAAGCCCGTTGAATGGGATCCTACTGACAGCGCACCGCTGGTATGTGGGGGTCTGAGCGGCTCTGACCTGACAGAAATAATATTGGAAGGCTGATATGGATGAACTGACTGCACTAATTAAGTTTTAAAAACATAATAAAACTACTTTATTCCCACTGATCACAGCAAATATAGCTGCAAGGCAAAGAAAGGATAGAGTAGCTCCGCCCAACGCGCGTCAGAGAGCCAGAGCAGCAAAGCTTCTTCAGCCGCGCGTCAGAAGCTGGTACAAGCAGCAAAAAGGAAGCAGCAGACGCGATTTTGCTGCTCTTGCTGCGTCCAGTTTGAAAGCAGCATGATTCACTCCGCTCTGGCTTTGCACTGCCCACGGGCTGCTGAGAGGAGGATGGTCGCGCCGGCTGCGGTCCGCTCTTCTTGCAGTCAAACATCGAGCAACTTTCTGCTCTTAAATTGTTTCTGTGCACGATGTATTGCATTGTGCACTATTGGCATCAGTCTTAATAAAGTGAAGCCACACTTTTGACCTGGGGGGCATTTTAAAGGGGTTCCACGATGCTCGCAACCAGTTCACAACAGATACACATGAACCCTGGCTGTAGCCGTGACCACCTATGTATTTTTCCTGGATGACGCAATCACGTTAAGTGTTACAGCCAATCACCGAAACTTGGTACCGAAAGACGAGGCATGTTGCGATACTCTGTAGAACCGAAGCATTTCGGTCGGTACCTTAAAAGAACCGATGTTCGGTACCCAGCCCTATATATATACAGAATATGATCACCTTAAGGATGCTCCATCTCTGAAGTTTTTGTTTTTTTTGCTTTTATTTTTCGTTAAACAGAAAAAAAAAACATGAATTTTCAACACTGTTAATCTGCTTTAGCATGATTTTTTTACGGTTGAAAATTTACTTTGTCCTTCACATGTTCAGTTTGTTCCATTATATGAGAACACAGGTTAATGTTTGGGAACTACAGTGAGTACAAGAGACTGCAAGAATGACTGATCAAACTCCTCTCAAAAAGAGTAAAAGGTACTCTGGCTTGAGTAATGTAACTTGAGGAAATTAGGAATAGTTTAAAACTTCTCTATGGCTTAGAAAAGCTTTTAATAATGGTTGCATAGAATCAAAGACATTTTTTTCTAAGATAACATCTCCATAAAGTTTTTTTTCATAAATATTATTTATTGACAAGGGCAATATTGTTTGACAAGGGCAATAAAATGTAAATACTGTCCCTTAACCTGTTATTTAAACATACTATATAGTCTTAAAAGCTATGTCACGTCAAATACTTTAGATTTTAGAAATAATTAAACTTTTAACTGAGTTATTTAGTGTGTGAGACGATGTGTACCGTTTACCAAATGCCTCATCTTACCTGACTCTGCCCATTAAAAGGTGGTGTGTGGGCTCCTGTCCGGATCCCCGTTTCAGCAGAACCAGGGAGAGAGGACTCCTGTAAAACTTCAGTCCCAGAGATGTTAACCTGGGGCGGGGGTTCCTCTGGAGGTAAGACGAGGGGAGAATGAGTGGAGGAGGGTTTTATGCCTGCTGTGAGTACAGATGGACTCTTCCTTCCTTCTGTTCCTTTACCCCGTTTTCTACTTCTGTGACCTTCTCTGTCTCTTTCCCCCTTCTTTCTATGGTCCTTCTCCCCATTGTCTCTCCTGTGTCCCTGATCCCTTGAAGCATCTATTCTACGCTCCCTGCCCCTCTGCTTCTCCTCCTTCCTGTCTTCCTCATCTTCCTCATCAGAAGCAAGGAAGGAAAACTTAGCCTTTTGTTCTTTGAGGAGCATCTCAATACGAGAGTCGAGACTGCTGCTGTGGTAGACAAACGGTAAACTTTCATTTGTACAATCCGGCTCAGGGGAGGAATCCCGATGAGGAGGTGGTGGAGAGCTGGAGGAGGAGGAAAGATGGGGAGGAAGGGAGGCAGAGGAAGGAGAGTTAGAGGAAGATACAATGGTAGGTTGGGATGGAGAAGAAGGTGGGGGAGTCTTGGGCGGGACAGGTGGTGTGGTTGGACGGCGTTTGGGTTTTGTCCATTGGTCTTCGCGAGCAGGACTATCCTGGTTAAAATCCAGTGTCTCCGCAACAGCAGCTGCAATAACAGAGGCTGGTGGGAGTGGTGGTGGAGGAGGAGGTGGCGGCGGTGGCAAAGCACTGTGATGATCAGCATGGTAGTCTTTATCAGCACCAACTGAGGGCAGAGATCCTCTCTCAGCCAGACTAGAACCCGCTGAACGAGAAGAAGCATCCAGTCCCTGAGGAGGGGTCGGGGTGGGATCTTTGGAGGTGGCGTAAGCAGAGTAAGATGATGGGGGAGGAGACATGCTGTTAGAGGAAGACCGGTGAGAGTTGGAATTATATCTGGGGTCAGAGCTATTGGAGTAGTCACTGTCTCTGTCTCGTTCTCGATCCCGGTCATGGCTGCTTCTTCTGCGACTGCCGTGGTGGTTGTGAGAATGGTGATGGTTGCGGTGTCTCTGGTGACCGTGGTCACCTGACCGGGAGCCCAGGCTGTCTCGTCTGTAACCCCGGTCTTCCCTGCGATCTGAATGATGATGGGAGTGATGGGAATGGTATTTTGAGGAAGAGTTTGAATCTTGCTGGTGATGATAAGAGGACCTTCTGGAAGCAACCCCTCCAGCCCCATACCTCCCCCCTGGCTCCCGGTCACGATCCCTCTCCCGCTCTGACAAAGGAGGCTGATCATACTGGTTGGACATAGGTGGAGGAGGCATTGAGGAGTGATGTGCCATGTGTGAGCCAGGTCCTCCAAGACTGGGATAAGGGGGATAGCCTGGTGGCTCATTGGGACGGTATGATGCAGTTGGGGGGAATGAAGGACGACCTCGGTGGTAAAGTGAAGGATCCTGCTCATCCGGGTAACGAGACACTTTGAAACCTCCAACAGACGACGAGACAGCAGAAGATGAAGATGAAGATGGCAACATGTCCTGAGGCGGGTAGCCACTGCTCAAAGAGCCTGCATTGAAGTTTGGATGTCTGGAACACAGAATTTACATCATAAATAAAGTTGAAGAACCAAGAGATCAGAAGCTGTATCATATCAATTGTTAGACCAGATATAATCTGATTGAAGATTCCAATTTCATAAACCTCTTTTATTGAGATTAACTTGGCTATAAAATGAATAAAATAAAATGGATATAAATAAACACCTGCTGCCAGAGAAGCCCGAGTCTTGTGAAAAAGGAGTCCCAGATCTTGAGCTGTAAGGTGTTCCTCCTCCTCCCTGAGATGAAGCAGAGGAGCCTGGGGTGTAAGGACCAGATAAAGAAGAAGGTGGCGTGTCGTTTCGCTGATCGCCAAAGCCGGTATCAACCGAACATGGGGTCACATTTCCCGAGGTTAGGGCTTGAACTCCTGCTGCCAAAACAGCAAGCTCGCTGGAAAACCTACGCCGGATTTCCGACTGCAATTAAAAAAGAAAATAGTAATTAAGTTATTATATCATAAAAATTTTGTCACGCAATATCTACTGTTTCACTACACACAGTATAGGACCTACTGAAGCCCGAATGACCAACTTTAGCATTTACCAGCCCTGAGAAAGACTTCCATTAACTCACACCAACAAAATAAACTATCAAGCAATCTTTGTGATATTTAAACAATTATTTCAAACACAATTTTTGAATGTATGCAGTTCATACCCTAAAATAGGTTTTTATTTTAAACGATATTGTTTCTGAACTCATTGCTGAACTTTATTTTAGAGTTGGGCACCTTTATTCAAAATTAGACCTCTATGCATTGTTTTCTTTATTCATTCCAGAAGAATTGATATTTAAACCGTTTTTTGTGTGTAATCTGGTCAAGAGAGAAGTGACTGTCAGCCCACAAATCAAATCAGTCTCATGTTCATAAAAATTCACAATAAAAAAAATAAAAAACACAATTACAAAGAACTGTAACTGGTGCTACAAATGCACCACAGTGTCAAAACAAGTGCTCTTCTAAAGAGCAAGTACAAGGAAAAATAATTTTAAAAACAAATTTTTTACCTCAGATTTGACCAGCATCATCAAGACTCGTAATTTCTATATACAGTTTTTGTACTGGTTTGATTAATAGAAAAAACATAGCAATAATAACAAACAAAAAATAAAAACTTTCTGACTAGCACATATACTGATTAACTACTAAATGAACTGAAGTCATACCGTATCAGGCTGTGGCTGAGCTGGGGTCTGTGACTGAACACTGTCTGTCAAAGCCTTCCCCCCAAGTGGCACCGTCTGAGGAGTGTAGGACCCATTTACAATCAGGTCATAGTACTTCTGCCTCTGTTGACCTGCAGAAAGATAAATGCTTTACATAAATGCTCGTCATTGTTAGACTATTAATGGTTTGTTCAGATCGAACTCAATTTTGGATTTTTCACGTAATTTGCACGCTGTCACTTGCATGAAATTTCGCCCGCAATTAATTTGGTAAAACAGGGAAAAAAATTTCACCACCTTATCAAATAAAAGGAGATTCAATCTGCTGGCGGCCGAAGTCAACTCAAAATGCGGGATCCGAAATTTTACTGAGTAAGTCAACGTTCTCCCTTTTTCATGAAAAGCCGAACATCACCCTTGCTTTATCAGATCTTCCAGGAAATATGCTGGATTATGGCAAACATCAGTCTGACTACGACCTGAAACTGTTATCCCACTTCAGGGGAGGATCACCCGAACAACACGGGTAAGGTGAGGAGATGCTCTGGAGCTCTAACAGGAGCAGGGGAAGAGCAAGTAGCTGCGCAGAGAGAGCACCCGAGTTGGACAGAGGTGGCTGTGTGTGCCCTGCTCTGGAACTAAAGACAGCCAGAGAACAGATCGAGAGACTAGAGAGAGAAACCAGCAGAGATTGCAGTAGGACGTGGCCTGCTGGGAGCTCAGGGAGGACAGCTTCAGTGCACTGTGAAACACCTGACAGACAGACAACCTTAAGGCTGATTTATACTCAGAAACCAGGTGCGTGTGCGTTGCAGTGAACTCAAATATGCCCCACGCCTTTCGCAGAAGCTCTGCTACACCTCTCCAAAATTGTAGGTGACCGCAGACAGTGCCGCAGACAGGAGGCCCCTGATTGGTCAAATCTACATCTGCTCTACACTATGCACATTTCCTGTTTGGTACCTTACCGGCTTGCTTGTTTTGTTTGTATGACCGCCATTGTGGAAGACGACTCGTTAAGTTGGACCAGCTAGAAGACTGAGGTGCGCGAGAACGCTGGTACCCATTTTCCACCTGGATCCCCGGTCTTCTTTGCCCTCATGTCCCTCCGTTGTCACACAAACGCGCCCCCACTTCCTCACCACCTCGGTCATATCTAGACCCACAGCTAGCTCGTGATTGTCCCTCTTGCATTGTGGCGTGGAATAACATAGCGCAGACCAATATTGGGCATAAATCAAAAATATCTGCGACAAGCTCACTGCGACACACTGCTGTGGAAGGATAACCAGCCCTTTAGCTAAGAGGGGAGGACGAACAGTGAATGATGCAACAGTCCCTCAGGACTAAATTAAAACCGCCAATTGAAAAAGAACCGCTTAAGAGCATTCATTTCTTCATCCTCTTTCAACAGGATTCTTTCCATCTTCCATTTCAATTGAAAAAAAGCTTTTTCTCAGCTGCACATTACAACATGCGGGAAGAATAGACAGAAAGGTCCAGATTTTCCAACTCCAGTGAAATTCTCCATCCCAGGTTTTGCTCTATTTATTTTGTCCTTTGCTTCGCCTTATTTTATTTTAATAAAAAAAATTTTGCAGCAGTAGTGGCTCGTTATTTTGACAGCAGGCTGACAGGAAAGGGGGTATGAGAGAGGGAGAGAGAAATGCGGCAAAGGACCACAGGTCGGTTTGGAAATCCAGGTCGGCCGTATCGAGGACTGAGGCCTCCGTACATGGGTAGTGTGCGCTAACCGCTGCGCCACCTGCACGCCTATCTTATTTTGTTTTAGTAGTGGGCAGAGAGGAAATTGGTTTAGAGAGGCGCAAAGGTCAACACACAGGGACTCGAACCCCCGACGACCATAGCCACCGCACAAATGTTGCGTTCCCAACCATTGCACAAACGCCACACTCCAATCCTGAACATAGCGCTACGTGACAATAAAATATTAATCACTCACTGATGGTATCATTAAGATTCAGTGTGAGCACACCACAACAGAAACACAACCTAATGACTCTAAAACAGAGACTTCAAAAATATATGTATATTTTAGCTTACCTTTTATATCTAGCTGAGCATGAATGATGTTACCCATGACAGAGGTGTTGTGCAAATGCTTGACTGTGTCCTTAGCTCCTCTCGTGCTGGTGAACAACACCCTGGCCAGACCCAAGTGCTTCCTGGTCTTTGGATGAAATAAGATTTCCATCTCCTCCACTTCGCCAAACTTGGAACACATTTCTGCTAAGAAGGGCTCCTTAATGTTGTCATTGAGCCTTGCAAAAGTCACCTCTTTAAGAGGTATGGGCCCAACGTAGAACTCATCGAGCTGTGGTAAAAATGACAAGATCAGATGAAAAGGTGTAAATTATAAACACGAAGAAGAAAAGTGAAGAAAGACAGGAATGGAAATATATAAATGACTGACAAAAGCATGTACAACAGTGACCTTCAAGCAAAAGACTTAATCCATCTACAATGTTTTGCAACTGATCATTAAAGTTCTGAACAAAAAAGTTTTACCACTAATCACTGCAAACACTGAGTACATGCCTAAAAGACAAATAATAACCTAACATTTATACAACACTACTGGTAATAAACTAACTTAAAACAACATAATTTCTAACTCAATAGATGGATAAACAATGCAGTTATGCACCGCATCCTATATATAACTTATCTTAAATTAAAAATGTAGAATTTGTTTAGAAAGTGATTTTTTTTTGTTGAGTAAAACTTAATTTCAGGTGGCAATATTTTGACATTTTTTGTTTTAATGACAAGTTCAATCTCCATATCCTGGCAATTATACAGTAGTTTAAAAAAATGTATCCTACTGGATCTGCAGAACAAAGTTGGAGGTGACAAACCAACCTTGAACTTTGGCACTGGTAAGGACAGCTCCGAATATCTAGACCATAACCTCCGGGGTCTAGGGTCCCGGAGCTCTCCCACAGGCGGGAATCCAGAGTCCTAAAAATGAAAGGCAAAAATTGTTACACATATAAAGTAAAACTGTATGCAACACACATTATACAGTAAATATACTCCAGTTAGACTTACTGGAACACTGAAATGCACGCCATCATATCTGTAGACTTTCTGTGTAACCCGCCTAATGGCTGGGTCCTGGACGAGTTTGTAGCTTATCCACTGCAAACTGACTGCTTTTTGTGTTTCGGCCCCACTGTCTGGATCCATTCTATAACTTAGAAGAAAAAGGAAAGCATTCATGTAAATATGAAGAACAATTGCCTGATAGAAATTATACTAAATAATGCTAAATTGTCAAAGTCAAACTTTAAAGGGTCTTTTCTGGACATAGTTATTAAGTTCATACATTTATAATGTACACTTCATTTTTACAAAGTGATTAACACTGCAGAGAGAAACGATCCTAATATATTTTTTCTGGAAAACATTTTTCTATTCTTGTAGTTGTTGTTCTTTCACATACCTAAAACTGTCTCAGCTAATGAGTATATTTCTTAAATGGTCAGGCTTAAAAAAGTCATCTACAAGCACCATTAAACAAGCTGCACAACAACAAATAATGAAAAAAAAAACTTTTCCCACAGGATTCCACTGTATTATTGCATGATGAAAAATGCTTTATTTACATTTCTACTTAAATACAAGATAATAGGAAAAAATGGTGTTTAAACATGAGGTAAAACTCTAAAAATGACAAAAAGCATTTAACTTTTTCTTAGGCGTTTAGAAACTGGTGAATGGAGTCCTGCAACCTAAGAAACTGTATTTACTGATTTACACCTTGCACATCTTTGCAATAAACCTAAATGCAGAGAAATATTTTAACACGCTAGATACAAAGTGAATTATGACAGTTATGAAAGGCTGCAGTAATTACAGATTAATAACTCTAGCCTGCAACGCTGTGATAAGCTGCGTCACAACATCTACCGAGATATCAATATTTGTGACTTCGAGTCGTAATAGCTTATAAGAAAATACATTCAAACACATAAGATGTTCAATATCATCTTCAGCTTGCTGCTGAATTCCGTTAATCTCCTGTCAAAACAAAGATCACCGCTACGTCACTGGTCAGATACTTAAGCTAGCAGCCTGCTGTTAGCAGAGGCTAACGTGTAACCAAAAAACACCGATTATTGTTCCAGCGAGCGTCGAATACGAATAAATGTTTAGCGCATTTGTCCGCGTTTTAGAAACATTTCTTAAGACCAGAATTATACGTTGCCGTTCAACCCCAAAACATTGAGCAAGTAAAAATGGTTACCTTCTCGCTTTAGCTAGGGTAAACTGATGCTACATATGGCTAATGCTAACTAGCAACATTAAGTTAACAGTTTAAAGTTTGAACTTGAGGACCTCTGCGAATACGCACCAATCTTTACAAGTGCCAATCTTGATGTGTGCATGTAATCGAAACTTAACCTAAAAAGCTTCCTTTGCTTTAACAAAAATTCAACCCCCACCTCTTGGAGACCCGCTCATCCGAAAGTAGCAATCCGCCACCGCTATAGTGTAGGCAGCTGAAGATAGGCCCGCGAGAGCAACAAGAAAAACACTGGGTCACAAGCAGATATAAGACACCTCCGACCCCGCGATTAAGCACATCAAACAAGCTAAAACAATTCCGCTATCATTGCGGTAATTAGCTTAGGGGCCAACGACCATCTACGAGCGCCAAAGCCATTGTTTTGTATTTGAAATTCCATATATTGTTGAGCGAGCGGCCATCGCGTAACCAACCTGAACGCCTCGCCTGCTCCCTACCAATGTATGCTAATACACCCTGCGGTTCCCTACCAGCACTTTCCTCTATACATACACCCGCAAAAAACAAATACAATCGTTACGGAGCCAAAATGGGAAGGCTGTACTAGTTGAAATTACACTGATTTTTTTTCAGAACAATTGCTTGAATATAAGCTTAACGTGTAAAATGTACGATTATTATTGAATCTGCTCGCATGGTTTTCAGTGTTGAGTAGTGACAACATCGCCATCAACAGGCGTAACGGTGAAACAGCTGCAAAATCATACATACAGGTATAACTGAAGATTTGATGCATTCTAACTGGTTTCCTGGACAACCATACGTCATTTTGAGTGTCCATGACAAAACTTTAACATTCAAAGAGCTAATCGATCAGCATTATAAGCTTATTGATTTGTAATTTGGCAAATAAATATAAATAATATTTTAGTAGAACATTTTTTCCAGTTATATTTGCACAGTTAATTGGGTTGAACATGGTCAGTCCTTTCGAAATGAATCCTAATTCAGTTTCATTGCCATTGCCATATTGAACAATGATATTATTATTGGGGGGGGAAATAATAATCATTATATATATATATATATATATATATATATATATATATATATATATATATATATATATATATACAGGATCTGGAGAAGATTGAAGACTCATTTGTTGTTTTGGAGTCTTTTGAAGATATTCTTCTTAGTTCTCAATTCCCAGAACGAATTCAACTATCTTTATCAATTTGTTGAGCCAAGTCATTTGCTCTGATATTGCAACCCCAGCAGATGA